CCAGCAATGGGTCCACGGTTACCCAAATTCAGTGCATGATATATCAAATCAAATCCTAGTTGGTCTAGTTTCCAAACATCCAAACCTCTCATCAATTGGATTTTTATTGAGCAGGTTATGGCCAATTTACTACTAATTGTTCAGTGGAAACCAAAATGTGTTTGATCATAAAATGAATTATTCGGCAGAAGGTTTACAATTATAAAAAATTCATCACATATTACATCAAATTAAATCAATGTCTGTCTAGTTTCTAAAGATTCAAACTGTTGATCAATTGGATTTTTATTGAGCAAGTTATGACTAATTTATTACTGATTGTTTAGTGGAGACTATGAAATAGTAAAAACTGAAATGTGTGTGATGATAAAATGAATGGTTTGGAAATGGGTGTAGAATTATCAAAATTCATCATATAGTATTTCAAATTAAAGGCATGTCTGTCTAGTTTCCAAATATTCAAACCGCTCATCAATTGGATTTTTATTTAGCAAGTTGTGGCCAACTTACTACTGACTCTTCAGTGGACATTGAGAAATAGGGGAAACCGCGTCAAATGTTTGTGATGATAAAATAAATGGTTCATAAGCGGGTTTACAATTATCCAATGTCTAGTTTCTAAAGATTCAAACCGCCCATCAATTAGATTTTTGTTGAGCAAGTTATGGCCAATTTACTACTATCTGTTCAGTGGAAACCGAGAAACAGAGGAAACCAAAATTTGTATGATGATAAAATGAATGGTTTGGCAATTGGTCTACAGTTATCCAAATTCAGTACATAATATATCAAATTAAAGTTCTGTTTGTCTAGTTTCTAAATATTTAAACCTCTCATCAATTGGATTTTTATTGAGCAAGTTATGACCAATTTACTTCTGACTGTTTAGTGGAAACTGAGATGTGTAAGATGATAAAATGAATTGTTCGGCAGCGGGTCTACAATTATCCATATTAATTACATAATATATCAAATTAAATCCATGTCTGTCTAGTTTCCAAAGATTCAAACCGCTCATCAATTGAATTTTTATTGAGCAAATTATGGCCAATTTATTACTGACTATCCAGTGGAAACCGAGAAACAAGGGAAACCAAAATGTGTATGATGATAAAATGAATGATTCGACAGCGAGTCTACAACTATACAAATTTAGCATATAATATATCAAATTAAAGGTATGTCTATTTAGTTTCCAAAGATTCAAATTGCTCATCAATTGGATTTTTATTGAGCAACTTATGACCATTTATTGCTTACTATTCATTGAAACCAAGAAACAAGGGAAACCGAAATGTGTGCGATGATAAAAATTAAACATTGTTCAACATATTTTTTGAATAGGCAACGGTAATTTAAATGGTGGATTTTTTTAAGATAATAACAATGATTCGGCATATTACAATGGTTTCAAATAATACAAATTGATCAGCATATTACAATGGTTCAGCAATTTTTTGAATAGGCAATAGTAATTTAAATAGGCACATTATTTCAATTAAACATTGTTAAGCATATTTTTTGCATTGAGAATAGTTATTTAAATGGTGATTATTTTAAAGTTAATAACAATGATTCCATCTTTTTTTTAGGGATAATAATAATGGTTCGACACATTACAAATGGTTTACTAAAGCTATATAGTTCGGCATCAAACATCAGGTGATATTTGTAAAACAAATAAAATTGGTTATATTCAACAACAACCGCTTTTTATGATATATGTATGTGACATAAAAAATATCAACAAAAAGAGATAGAACAAATACAATTAAAACTACATATCAATATTTGTTTTTCTTTCTCATCACAAAAATTGAACTCGTTTTTATGACAGCAAATCCTTACATTTTCATCCTAAAATGTTGAATGATGCCAATCCTCGTAGGTCTAAGCAAAGAAATACAATTTAATATTGCACAACAACATCACAAAACTATTTTTTTTAAAAAAAAAAAAAAAAAAAAAACACAGCTACGATTAAATATCTAACATAATTGATATAATACAATATTGAAAATAGTTCAGGATAGTACATTACCTTCAATAGGAGGTAAATTGCAACTATGAGAACAAATTTTATGTTTCCACCAATAGCATATACTTACATCTAATCAGAGTAAAAATTATTAACAATAAACTAGCAAAAGCAAAAGAAAACAATTATCTAACAATTTAATATTGACTACCTCTCTTTCTTTCGATTAATGTATGTATGAAAGTATTAATATATCTACATATATAGGATTCCAAGTAATGAATCCCTTCATATTCAAATAAATATCTCTAACCCTTCATATTAATTACACATTGACGTAGCACAAGCATAGAATGGGGTCGTGATATCGTTCACGTAGATGCAAATACATCTCAACAAACAATGAAAATTGATACAACTTGATAGCCTCAAGGCTAACTCAGGAACAGCGAAGAATATTCAATTTTTTTTTTTTTTTTAATTAATGAGCGTCAACTTTCATGAGAAACTAGCCTTTTTATAGGCTTAAACTCCTAATTATAGACTAAATGAAATTCCTAAACAATTAAGAATTAGTAAAACTCTCCAACTAATAAGAAACTGAAATTCCTAAACGATTAAAAATTAGTAAAACTGTTCAACTAATAAGAAATTGAATTTAAATCAAAATCCATGTTGTGGTCCTCCATCACACATAAACATTACCAAATTACAAATATAACATATCTTTTCACATTCACTAATTTCAATAATACACCTTATCAATCCATTTACCTTCACCAATCACATTGTATGTGTTATGCCTGGGAAATCGAGGGATGACGTGGGAAATCATGTGAGGGAGAGTATGACCTGCTCCTGTCAGAATAGTAGGCGCGCGCCAGACCTGCCAGGCGCTGTGGAGAACCCACGTGTCCATTCCCTGCTCCAAATCGCGTGAAATCAGTTTGGAAGGTGGGCAATGTGACATAAAGGATGATTTATCTTGACATCCACACCAACCCACAGATTTCGTGATGATTACTTACGCTCACCCCACTATAAAAGGGAGAAGACCTTTCTATTGAGGGGATTGGCCCATTTTTACTCCGAAATAGTTATTCTCTCTCCTGTGTATTGATATTTGGCAAATCATTTGTAAGTCAGTCCGCTATTGTGACCTGACCCCCAATATTAATACAAAGTCAGTGGATGTAGGACTTGCTACCTTAGCATCCGAACCAATTAAAAAGTCTTCACTACGGCATTTACTACTTTTTGGTCTATATTCACGTGTGTCTCTTGGCCAGCCAACGTTACGCACGTGTCGATTAGTTGGTGTCAAAATCTCGCATCAACAGTTTGGCGCTAGAAGAAGGGCAAGATTTAGTGTTCATCCTTCATCGGGAGAATCTCTAACCTACTGGTCCTACAGCAACAAATGGCCCGCCAACCTGAACTTGAGCAAGCTAGCGGGGGCGCTGAGGGAGTCCCCCTGACCTAGGGGGATACCTCTTCCAGGATACTTCCAGTTTCGTAAAATGCTGCGGTGGATATCTCAGCAACTTCACAACTTGACCCCGCCATCAGAAGCTACCTGGAGAGGTTCGACAATACTCTCCAGACAGTCAACCAAAGGCTGGACTGTTTGGACCAAGGCGTGTCATCCAGATCAGCTGGGGCAGTGCAACAGCCTAAAACGCCTGTAGGTCGCGCGAAAGCGAGGCAAAGGGAAATAGTCTGTGTCGCGAGCACTACAACGCATAGGCGTAAAGGAAAGCAAGTGGCAAAAAGCAAGCCCATGGGCTCGAAAGGACCAGCGAACACAAACCGTGTCCCGAGCAAGGTACCGGCAAAGCTGAGACTAGGCGAAAAAGTAAATCCCGAGCTGTCCCATGCCATGTCACAAGTGAACCCAAGCAAAAGTGCTGGGCGGGGCAATTCTTATCACCGCCAACAGAACAATCCTGATCGCTATCATACAGGTGGTTCCCACACCTCGCGGGGCAGTTCGTACCACCGCAAGGGTGGTGAAAATACTCCGTACCATGCATCTCCTTCACATGCCTCTAGCCAGCGTGTGTTGAGAGCGGCCGAAAATGCCAGTCGAGGCGAAAAGGAGTCCAACCTCCGGACTTTCTTGAACCGTAATTGCGAAGGTCGAACTCACATGGGCGAAAGCAATCCCTAACTGGCTCCATTGCCACAGATTGAGGAGCTGCAGTGAGCTCTAGACAGACTAAGAGAGCAGCAAAACAAGTAGGGGCAGGTCGCATCTGTGCTAGCCGCTCCACTCCCGCATGGGTTCAGGATGCCTGACATGCGGGCGTTCGATGGGAACCATGATCCGCAAGATCATTTGTACGAATTCAACGACCTGATGGAACTTCACCAGGTCTCGGATCTTGCAAAATGCCATTTTTTGGCCGTGACTTTAACTTCTCACGCCAAACGGTGGTTAAGGTCACTCCCAGCGGGATCGATCAGTTCATGGCCTCAGATAAGCGCGACGTTCCTAAGGCATTTCCAAGCAAATGGAAAGTTTTCGATGCCTTTGAGCTACCTCAGCAACATAAGACAAGAAAGGGATGAATCCCTACAATCTTACATCGACCGTTTCCATAGGGAACTCAACAAAGTGGCTCATGCCCTCGAAGAGTCCATCCGAACACTCATAATAGCAGGCGTTCGTCTGTAAACCGACCTGTGGAAGGAGTTACAGGTTGAGGACGATGTATCCCTTACCCGATTCTATAATCTCGCGAAGAAATACCTCCGGATAGAAAATTCACTGGCGGCACTCCGGCGTCATGACCCCGACAGTCCAGGAAGTATGTTTGGTCGGGGGGAAAGAACAGCTGATCGCGGAGGGGCTGCTGATGATTAGCGAAAAGGAAAGAAACCTCGCTACGAGCCCAAAAAGTCCTATGCTCCTGTTCCTCGTCGCGATCACGACAGAAACCAATACACTCCGTTGAACGCCTCTATATCTGCCATTCTTGATAAGTCCGAAGAGGCCTGTCTACTCGGAGAGCTCGAGCCCATGAAGACTCCCGTGACAGCCAGAAATAATAAAAAGTATTGTCGCTATCATCGGGACAAAGGGCACCATACTGATGACTGTCAGGCTGTAAAACAAGCAATCGAGAAGCTCATCAAGAAGGCGTATTTCAAGGAATACGTCGACGACTCTGCTCCCTCGCAAGAGAAAAATCGAGGGGAGCAGAGTAAGAAGCGCCGCGATCAGAAGGGTTTGTGCAGTCTTAATTTGATTTTTGGAGGACCGCACTTCGCTGGAAATTCTCGAGATGCCCGAGAAAGGTATGCTCACGAAGCTCATGAAGCTCACGAAGCACATCACAACCCCATTAGCATGATGAGTGCAGAGCAGCGACCACGAAAGGTTCGCAGGGAGATAGAAATCTCCTTCTCTGAGCAGGATGCAGCCAAGTTGCATCACCCTCACGACGACGCCCTTGTGATCACGCCCCTGATAGGGCGCTATAATACCCAAAGAATGTTAGTGGATAACGGGAGGGCTGTGAACATCCTGTTCGCGTCCACTTTCGAAATGATGAATCTGGACGAGGCCAACCTGAAGCCTGCCTCATTCCCACTGTACGGATTCACAAGAGACCATCTACTCCCCAAAGGGACGATCTCACTCCCAGTCACACTGGGCGATTTTGACGAAGTGACTAAGGTAATTGAGTTCTTAGTAGTAGATTGCCCATCAGCTTTTAATGGGATCCTGGGGCGGCCTCTACTAAGACAGTTCAAGGTGGTCACCTCGATTTACCATCTAAAAAGGAAATTTCCCACCCCGATGGGAATCGGGGAAGTCAGCGGGTCTTAGCGCACATCGCGCGACTACTACATGAAAGCCGTTTAGATGGTGTGAAAGAGAAAGGGCACCTTGCATGGAAGCCATCGACAGGCAATGGCGATCAACAGGATCGAGCCGCGACCTAGCCTAGCCGAGGACAATATAGACCCTTGCATCCAAGATTGTCTTTCCAGTGGGCCAATTGAGGACCTGACTGAAGTGCTAGTTGATCATAATGAGCCGAGCAGGGTGTTAAGGATTGGCAGAAATCTCAACTCCCAGCTCGCCACCGAACTGACCAGTTTCCTCAAGGAGAACATCGATGTGTTCGCATAGTCACACGCAGACATGGTCGAGATCAGTCCAGATGTTATCTGCCATGCGTTGAATATCGACAGCGAAGCCAAACCGGTTCACCAAAAAAGAAGGGCAATGGATCCAGAGCGATATGCTGCCTTAAAATTAGAGGTGAATAACCTCCTCCATAACGGGTCCATCCGAGAGGTACTCTACCCAACCTAGGTTGCCAACCCGGTTCTGGTAAAGAAGCCCAATGGAAAATGGCGGACCTGCATCGATTTCAGCGACCTCAACAAAGCTTGTCCTAAAGACAACTTCCCCTTGCCAAGAATTGACCAGCTCGTGGACGCCACCTCGAGGCATGAGCTGCTAAGTTTCATGGATGCATACTCGGGATATAATTAAATTTCGATGTATGCACTAGACGAAGAGCACACATCTTTTATTACAGATCAGGGACTGTACTGCTACAAAGTCATGCCCTTCGGCCTCAAAAATACTGGCGTGACCTACCAGCAACTAGTTAACTGGATGTTCTCCGACCAGATCAGAAAGTCAATGGAGGTCTACGTAGATGACATGCTGGTCAAGTCCCATGTCGCTTCAAATCACGTAGCGCATCTCACAGAAATGTTTGATATCCTCCGACTGTATAGAATGAAACTGAACCCTCTGAAGTGTTCATTCGGGGTATCCTCGGGGAAATTCTTAGCGTACATGGTTAACTAGCGGGGAATAGAGATCAACCACGAGAAAATTCAAGCTCTCCTCGATATGGAAAGCCCGACCAGCAAAAAACATTTCATAAGTCTCAATGGGCGAATAGCGGCACTTAGTCGTTTCATATCGAGGTTAACAGATCACTACCTGCCATTTTTCAATGTTCTGAAGGCTAATAAGAAATTCGAATGGACTCCCGAGTGCGAATGGACGTTCCAAACTATAAAAGAACATATCGGGAAGCCACCTATCCTCTCCAAGCCTCTTCCACAAGAGATCTTGCCTTTGTACCTATCTGCATCCCAGTTCGCGATTAGTGCAGCCCTAGTTCAGGAAGAGGAAAGAGTTCAATGGCCTGTATACTACGCGAGCAAGCGCTTGTTGGATGCTGAGACGCGGTATCCAAAAATAGAGCGATTAGCCTACGCCCTGCTGATCGCTTCCAAAAAGCTGCGACCTTATTTCCATGCCCATACGATCCACGTAATGACTAATTACCCTCTTAGATAGGACCTCCAGAAGCCAGAGGCCTCGGGTAAACTGCTCAAATGGGCCATGGAATTAAGTCAGTTCGACTTAAAGTACCAGCCAAGGTCGACCATCAAAGGGCAAATTGTTGCTGACTTCATTTTAGAATTCTCCTATCTTTCGAATGAGTCGGAGCAATAGCCTAGCGAAGCCATCTAGGAAACCATTTAGAATTTATCAACCTGGAGCCTCTATGTCGACGCATCGTTGACCAGGAAAAGGGCAGGCGCAGGCCTCCTTCTTTTAAGTCTCGAAGGGGCTTGCATTCATGGCATCCTACGGTTTGGATTCAAAGCGACCAACAACGAAGCTGAGTGCTCACTGGATTGCGGTTGGCCAGAGATATGGGCGCAACCGCGATCAGCGTCCATAACGACTCTATGCTGGTCGTTAACCAAATCCTAGGAGAATACCAAGCCAAGGAAGAAAACATGATCCGTTATTTGAAAGAAGCTAAGGTCGCACTCGAGCCGTTCAGGCATTTCGCGATCACCCAGATCCCCAGAGATAGCAACTCTATGGCAGATGCCTTGGCAAAGATAGCCTCATCATTGGATTCAGAGGCACTTGATAACATTCCTGTTCGGTTCATCGAGTCCCCGAGCATCAGCCCGACCGAATAGGCCGTGAATGTAACACAATCAGATTCTTGGATGACAGCCATCTACCAGTACCTCAAAGATGGGACCTTGCCAAACGACAAGGTCGAGGCACGGGTCTTGCGAACAAGATCTGCTTGCTACTCTCTCATCGAAAACCAACTGTATAGGCGGGGATTCAGTGCCCCCCTCCTCCGATGCGTAACTAGCGAAGAGGCAGACTATATCATGAGGGAAATTCATGAAGGGATCTGCGGTAATCACACCGCCGCACGATCTCTCGCGAACAAGGTTGTTCGTCAAGGGTATTATTGGCCCTGAATCTAAGAAGATACCCACAATTTTGTTAAAAGGAGTGATAAGTGTCAACGGTTCACGAACATTCTGCGAGCCCCCTCTCATGAGCTAATAACAATGACTGGCCCCTGGCCGTTCTCTATGTGGGGGATCAACCTTATCAGTCCCATGCCAGCCGAAAAAGGGGAAGTCAAGTATGCCGTGGTCATGGTAGACTATTTCACCAAATGGGTGGAAGTTGAACCGCTGGCCACGATCACGACCAGAAAGCTAAAAGACTTCGTTTTCAAGAATATAGTGTGCCGTTACGGAATCCCTCACACCCTAATCTCGGATAACGGGAAGTAGTTCGACAACGAGGAGTTCAAACAGTTTTGTGATGAGCTGGGCATCCATAAAAAGTTCGCCTCCGTCGCAAGACCTCAAGCAAATGGTCAAGTTGAAGCTGTCAACAAAACCATCAAGCACACTCTAAAGGCCAAGCTCGGCGCAACTAAGGGAAATTGGGTAGACGACCTCCCTGAAGTCCTATGCGTATACAAGACAACTCCAAGAACCTCTATCTCAGAAACGCCCTTTTCGCTAGCCTACGGTTGCGAAGCAATGATTCCTGTGGAGGTAGGAACTGGTTCACTTCAGAGGGACTTGTATAATGAGGTCGAAAATGAAGCACTTATGAGAGCAAGTTTGGATCTTATTGAAGAACACCGCAGCAAGGCTTCGCTAAGGATAGTAGCCTACCAGCAACGCGTGAAGAAGTTCTTCGACTCGAAGGTTAAGCGAAGAGACTTCCAGGTCAGCGACCTTGTGCTTAAGGAAGTTCTCCTCGGTACCCGAGAGACAAGTGTGGGGGTATTAGGACTGAACTGGGAAGGTCCATATCGTGTCGACAAAGTAATAAGACCAGGGACTTATCATCTCAAAAGGTTAAATGACTCCAAAGTACCCTGAGCTTGGAATGCTGAGCACCTTCGGCCATATTATCAGTAATCCCAAACTCAGCCTTCATTATGAATTAGTTAACTTTTGTTTAAGTTTCCTTGTAAAGTATTATGTTGTTCGCTTGTAACAGTTTGCATGTAATATTGCTTATGCAAATAAACTGAATTGTAAACTGCACTCATGTATAATTAAGCGAACAACAATTGAAAACAAAATGTATTTCATTTATGTACAAAACAAAAACTGTTGAGACCCTATAACCACTATTGGGTCAGCTTCATCGCGCTAGGCTTGGTCGGTTGGGGGCTTTGAGGCAAAACCCAAACCTCCTACCTGATCGGGTCCACGGGCAGTCGTTGCTTCATCATCTTTCCTCGCCAAGGTATGCAAGGTTTCCTGCCACTTCCCCGGGAGGTCGGACATATCCAGATTTGGGTTTTTTGGACGCAGGGCATAGATGGAGCCAATCTCCTAGTCGACGGCCTTATCCTCGACCTCTTCTGCCTGGCTCCGCATTTCCTTGGTCAGGGAAGCAACCCTTCCCTGACTCTCCTGAAGCTCAGCCTCAAGAGCTCGCCTTCTCTTTTCGGAGGCCTCCATTTCTTGTTCTACTCGCTAAGCTCGCATTAAGGTCGTCTGGAGCTCCTGGTCCTTCTCTCCGAACTTCTTGGAGAGTCTGGCTGTTGTCCTCTGAAGTTCCTTTATTTCCTCGGTGCGTCGCTTGAGCTCTGCCTTTTAGAAGTCCACCGTGTGCATAGCTGTGTTCTTCTGGTTCAGATACCTGTTCGCTGCCTCAGCAGACAGTTCCTTTTCTGTTTCGACGTCTTCCAGGCTTTGTTTGAGCTTCGCGACCTCATCTTTCAGATCGACCTCTCCCTTTGCAATGCCCAGCCGAGCCTTCTCCAGGGACATCCTCATGGCGAGCAGAGCCTGCGAATAAGAAATGAGTCAATCACTAAAAATAGCAAACAAACTCTACATCAAAAACAGTTCGCTCACCTTGCTTAAATGTTGGACCGATGTGGTCATAAGTTCAACATCGCCCGTATCAGCAAACTCATCGTACGATTCCGATAGTCTACACTCAAGTAAAGAGTAGACTACTGGCTACAAGTATTCAGACAGGTTCCCCAGTGCGTCCAGCACTAAGGTGTCCTTCGCCTTTTCAGCAGTAGTCGTCTCATCTGCGGGCTCCTTGCCCGACCTCCTTTTGGCATCCCACCGTGACCTCAGGGGTTGATCACCCTCGAATTCGGTCTCTAACTCATCGACCTGAATCTGCTTCCTCTTCTTTGATCATTGAGCCCTTGTCTTATGCCTCGGGCGAACAGGCGATGGCTGAGCGACCTGTTCGGTCCTGGTCGTTGCTTCCTCAGGACGGGACTAGGAAGGTGCGACAGCTTGCACCGGTTGAGCCGGTATGGCGCGAGCAGCTTCGGCTGCCCTTGCCTTCCTCGACCGAGGGAACTTAAACGGCGCCCACCGGGGCTACTCGGACTCTTTCGGAGGCATGGTCGCTGCATACAAGTAAGTTAATAAAACTATATAAATTATTCTACGACCAGAAAAGAATCGATCAGTGCAACTTATGCTCTGGGGATTCTAAAGACGCAACCTCGTTGAAAAAACCGTACTTCCGCAAGT